GTCCAGCCATTTCAGAGATTAGCCGGAACAGACAGACAAAAATTGTAAAAAATGTTATTTTGGTGTATGTACCGTATTTATATTCATATGCATGTAGTAAAAAACGGTTATTTCAATATTACAAACAGACACTCAATTTTATTTATATGTAGGTATAGATATAAGTACGGGCCTCATATATTTCGGAAGCTTGATGTTAAATAGTTTGAATATAAGTTTTAATTTGAGATATATTATAATTAATTATATACATACAATGATAAATATAAATATAAATATAAATATTGATAAATATATTAAATAATAATAAATAATTTGATATATATTTATATACATACATTGATAAATATTGATATGTATAACATCTAGTACCCATAACACAAGCTCTGCTTAGCTTGGGACGAGATAGCGCTGTGTGAATTCCTCCTGAGATATTATTATTCCACAGTTTCACAGTATACATATATCGGTTATTTGTATAGTGATCACAAGGACGAGCTTATATCACCAAGTCACATGTTCACACAATAGTATTTTAAATACTCTTTATAGGACTGTTTAAAAAATGTTCCTAATGCTTATTTAATAGTGGATTTCTGTAGTTCAATATAGCTAAAGTTCCTTAATTGCAGTTGATGTAACGAAGTATGCAATGATTTTGGGATCACTCCAGTGGATGATATAATAATTATTATTATAGAATTTTACTTTTCATTCAATTTCTAAAATTCAAATTCAAAAATCATTTATTCATGTCGGACATTTTAGCCGCTTATGTACGTCAAGTTTTTACATTATAATTTTTTTTCCCTACCGTCCAGTTCGGTATATAGATCCAATTGAGAGGAACTGGCATGAAACTCAATTGAATTATTTTTCAATTTTTATTCAGATATAAATATTATGCATTAGGTACAATAAATACACTATCTGCATATAGCAGTTTAATAAGGATTATAGAAAGTATAGCTGCTTTAAAAGAAGGTTTAAAATGTACGATAATATCAGGGCTGTATTTCTAAGAGTTTGCAATCCTCTGCCGGCTGTGGAGCAGTTTAATACGATTGTGATATTATCGATAACGGAAATCAAAGTTTGCCGGCTTATCGGTTTTCATATAATCGGTTTCTATATTTTTTTATAATATCGATTTTTATGATTTTTTATAATATCGGTTTCTATATATTTTTTATACTCAGCAAAAATAATAATCATTTTGCAATAACAAGCAAACGCTGAACAGCACCTGCAGTAAAATTACAAGAAAGACGAAAAATATCTTCATAAGTGTTAGGTCATTCCATATCAAATTGGCGTTTTGTCGTACTGGCCACTTTGATCTCAAATAGGATAGGATCTCTCCTCTTTGTTAGGAATTCCAATTTCATATTTATATAGCTACTTAGAAAACCGTAATCCATATGTTTTTTCCATCTTTGGTTTTTTCTTTCACTCAATATTACTCACGTCACTCAATGTTATGAAAAACTTAAAATATCGCGTTAATGGGCCGGGTCATTGGGCTCCCTAAAATATGGTCGAGCGCAGTGACGGCTGGGTCATCCGTCATACTCGTCAGCTCTTATCACTACGACTGACTTAATCTTATTGTGTTTTTATATTTGGTCCTAAATAAATTAGTGCTAGTTAGTAGTTTGTATTCACACATTTTGACTTGCAAAATGTGAACTTACAAGGATTGTTTAAAAGAGCAACACACAAGTTTCTTGCTTATACTTCTTGTTAAGCTGTCTCAGCATTACGAATGAGCGGTTGATTTAAAAAAAATTGTTGAGTATTCAAAAGTGCTTCAATTAAGTTTATTTGAATAAATGATTTTCTATTCTATTCTATTTACGAGTACGAGTTCCGCCGTGGCACCAGCGCTGCAGAAACGGCTCGAAGGATTAATGATGTGGGTTGCGGGTAAATGATACGTGTTGTTGGTTGAGACGATGTATGTATATTATAGATGATAATAGACTGACAATATGTACATAGAAATATTGATCTTATATACTAAATGACAATAGGAAAATGTAAGGTGGGGTGACACAGTTTAGACACGGCAGTGCTTAGTAGACAATATTGGATTTGTCTTACTAGACATTATTAATGTATCTAGGTAACTGTATCCTACAATGTGTATAGCAGTGGTGTGGTGATGCAAAAGTGAGTTAGTCCCTTACAAAACGCAAATTTCATATGTTAGGACCTAATATTTTAGGGAAAGCGTCGTTCCCCCTGCGCCAGCTGCCGTGACCCAAGTCAAAGAAGTGCGCTTTGAAATTGTAATTAGTTATTACATTACCAAATACGTTGTACGCAATTAAGGTGATTCAAAGCAGAGTTTCCTCAAATATGAAACAATAATAAAGTGCTTTAACTTTTATCACTGGGGGAGCCGTCATTTAACTCGTGCCTCGCGGGTGGATGACCTCAATGTAACAATAGAATACCCAGTGTTGCATAGAAGTGTTATAATTTAGCATATATTACCGTTATTTACTGTCTTATGGAAAGTATTTTATGGCGGAATGGCTTAATTGGAATTTGAATATGTCTAAGTACCGTTTTAGTTGTTACACATTTTCTAAGCTACTACCATAAATGACAATAGAATAGAATAGAAAATCCTTGATTCAAATAAACATAATTTAAGCAGTTTTGAATAGTCATAACATTTTTTTTCATTACATAACATTCTGATTCGGAAAGCCGTCTCATCACAAGCAGAACGAGTAAAATTCAAAATGCAAAATTCAAAAATCATTTATTCATGTAGGACATTTTAGCCGCTTATGAACGTCAAAGACTATATGAAACTTGTGTATTGCTCTTTTAAATAATCCTTGTAAGTTCACATTTTTCAAGCAGAAACGTACGAATACGAAATACCAACTAGCTCTAATTTATTAGGAGCAAATGTAAATACACAATAGGATTAAATCAGTCAGTGATAAGAGCAGACTACTACTACAGACAAGCAGCACTCGTTCACGAGTATGACGGTGTATATAAATCTTCATATTAAGACCTGTGATGAAATAAATTGAACGGAGCGTGTACAAATTATATCCATTATAAATATCTTCATTTAAAGAAAATAATACTTATATATCTTTTTTTTATATTTCAGAAGGAAAGGGCCGGAAATATTAGTGATTACAAAATCATTACATAAGGAAATCACAATAAATATATGTTTATCTGAATCTTGTAAAGTGCATAAGGAAAAGAAAAACTGTTTTTTTTTTGTCGTAAACTGTAAAGTTTCATCAAAATCAATTCAGTAGTTTTGCCGTGAAAGAGTAACAAACATCCAGCCTTCCATGTATCCATCGATACTCACAAACTTTGACGTTTATACAATAATGTTAGTGAGACTAACTGTCAATTACATCTTATATATAAAATTCTCGTGTCACAATGTTAGTTACCATACTCGATCCCAAACGGCTTGACTGATTTTTATGCAATTTTATATATTCAGTAGGTCTAAGAGCCGATTCTCACTATACTATCTTTTTTTTATATCCCTAAGTGATAAGGGTTGGTCACCATTAACAGTTTTTTTTAATATTTCGGAACATATTTTGTTTAATTAAAATACATAGTACTATTTACACCCTTATATTACCGATTCCTTATATTTAATAGCGGTTTTAATTCATCAAAACAACGTTTGCCGGGTCAGCTTTAATTTAATTAATCTAAATATTATATAACCTATATGCTGTTTTCAGAGGATCATTCGTGGTAGCACATATAAGATAAAAAGTACCTACATGTAATACGTTATAACGTCGACACTCGACGAAATTAAAAATTTACGATATGAAGTGACGAAGGATGCTCTATTCTTTGGACAGGTTAACCTTGTTGAAGGAATGAGTGAGAAGGAATTAGGTATAAAGTGGCAAAACTAATACTTAGTTTCTTACATGTTGTTTAAGTTATATAAGTATCTGTTTATTTACTAGGTATATAAACTTGCTCGTAAAATCTGAACCGAAATTTGACGTTTAATTTATTTATTTTTTCTATAATTGTCTAATTTGTCCATATGCAGTACTAGCTGTTCCCACGACATTCGTCGGCGTTGAAAATAATTTTATTTTTCTAAAATAAAAGTAGCCTAAGTTACGTCTTATTAAATAAGCTACCTGTCAAAAAAAATCCCGTCAAAATCGGTCCAGCCATTTCAGAGATTAGCCGGAACACACAGACACAGAGGCAAAAATTGTAAAAAATGTAATTTTGGTGTATGTACTGTTTTTACATTCATATTATTATGCATGTAGTAAAAAATGCTTATTTCAATATTACAAACAGACACTCCAATTTTATTTATATATATAGATTCATGAAACGGATAAACTTCTAGAAGATATTGAAGTAATGTGTAAAAGTAATCTACTAGTATTTGCCTCTCTGCCTAACTAGAGTTTACAAGCGAATCCGTCGTTTAGTTACTATTATATTTTCGGATTTAACTTCATACTGAGTATCTAGAAAATCTATCTAAATCTAGGTTAAAAATCACTGAATTTTTAACCCGGATCAATCAATCGACAGAGTTGCACTAACAATTCAAATGACCCAATTGAGATATATAATTAGGACATGCAAAAGCCTTTTAAAGTTTGTCTAAAACCTATAACGAACTGAAACTATTGTATTTAAAAATAATTATTAGAATAGAATTGGGGAATTTCATTCGGGTCATACAAATAAGAACAGTTCAGTAAAAGGCTATATTTATATTTATAAAGGGAAAAAAATATATTATATTAATAACCCAGGGTTAATATTACCCAAGGTAATAATAATATTATTATAATATATTTTTGGCTCAGTTGATTAAAATGTGTTCATGATGTAGCAAGAATAGAAAATCATTTATTCAAATAAACTTACATTGAAGCACTTTTGAATAATCATCACATTTTTTTAATCTACTGTAAGCTATCTCATCATAAGAAGAACGAACAAGAAACTTGCGTGTTGCTCTTTTACATAATTTTATTATTACTTCACATTTTTAAGTTTAAGTGTGTGAATACAAACAACCAATTAGCACTAATTCAATTAAATACTGAAATAGAAAAAATGTTGAATATATAACCAACTGGTTAAACAATTAATAAGAGGAAATCAATCATTAGAGCAGACCAGTCCCTACAAGCAAGTATTGCATAACATTTATTCTTTATTTTCTTCGAATTACTTAACGTATGAAAATTACTTCCGTGAAAAAAGAGACGCAGAAAAGCCGAGTACAAGTTGCAGTAAACTGTACTGCCTGTAGTAGTGAAAATAAATAAAGATTGTTGAGAAAATATGTTACCGTTTATATTTTATTTTACTCAATCCACGATGCCACTACTGTCGATTCAGACTAAACAGGCTTTACAGCAAGACGTGTCTGTTAGACCGCAAAGGATTCTATTTTACAATGGGACTTAAGACAGTTTTATGAAAAATGATACTACAAATATTTATCTCAACATACAGCAGAACAAATATCCTTTCTAAGGTGCCACTACTCGGAGAGAGAAAAGACTAGAAAAGAACAATTTTCAAGGGATTTAATGTTTCAAAGAAGTGAACCATAAAATACTGAAATATATCAGATTTTATATACTCGTATTGTATATACCAATATTATACATAGCAATTCTCATTAGTTCTCTCTCGTTTAGTTCATTAATTACAATAATAATAATCTCAGGACAATTCACACAGCGTCATCTAGACCCAAGTTAAGCTAGCTAAACCTTGTGTTATGACCACTAAATAATGAATACAAATACATAGATATTGTTTTTCGTAACTACATATTATATATAGAAAATACCCTGACCGATACAAACAATCATACAATAATACAAATGTTTATGTCGTGCGAGGAATCGAACCAGCGGCAAGACAATCGGTGTTCAAAAGCGCTAGATCATTGAGGCCGTCAAAATTATAAAAGTTCATAAGCGTCTAAAATATCCTACAGGAATAAATGATTTTTGTAATTGAATAAAAAAGAAGGGCTATTTTAGGAGTTATCTGAGACTAATTTATTAACTGACCCAGGTAAAAATTAGAAAATATATCAAAGACTAAACCTCGGTGGTCTAGTGTTTAGCACACAGCTTTACTATCCGATGGTCGTGGGTCCGATTCCTCGCACGGTACAAACATTTGTATTCATGAGTATGACTGTTTGTATCGGTCTTGGTGTTTGCTATGTAAAATACGTGTTTATTTACAAAAAAAATGTATCAATGTGTTTATATCAGTTGTCTAGTACCCAGCTCTGCTTAGCTTGTGACTAGATGGCGCTGTGTGAATTGTTCTGAGATGTTATAATTATTATTATTCTTAGCATCGTCTCACTCTCTCGGATTTTGCTGGTTTTTTCCACACTTACGGCCCGAAACCAAGTAAGTGCAGCGTGTGTGTATATGTGTGTATTTTTTTTATTTTTTTTCCAAATATTCTCATCTCCCCTCTTAAGGAGAGGAGATGGCAACATACCCCCGGAAGAAGCACAGTCGGCTTGGGTTCAGGGCCCCAGGGAGAGAAACCGGCGTACAATGCGGGCAGAATCTAACAGCACCGCTTTCTGCATCTTTCCCGGGAGTGAGCCGCCCCGGAATCCCAACCGTCTGAGATGTTGTTCCAGACTGGTTGGGATAAGACCGTTCACCGACATAACGATTTGAATGATTTCGGTGGACATCATCCCCCACATTTATTATTATTATTAATGTTTTATTTTATACACATGAATTTCTGTTTTATACAATATTAGTTATAGATGTTAAAATACTACTTGCTTTTGGTTATAATAAATCCAAATGATAAATCGTTTCGTTTGTAGTCAGTATCAAAGGGGAAAAGATGAAACAATTAATTTTATGTTGACATTTTAATTTTTTTTTTTTATATCATAATTTGAGCGCGTTTGACCGCAATCTCAAACGCGTTCAAATTATCATCTGATGCAATCTCACCTGATGTTAAGTGATGATGTGGTCTACAGCTGTTACACAATTTACTTTATTCAGTATGATTTTGTGCAATAATATTCGTAAATCTACATTCATAGTTTAATTTAAAATAAATGATAATTATATCTATATATACATATAATTAAAATTGGAGTGTCTGTTTGTAATATTGAAATAACCATTTTTTACTACATGCATATGAATATAAATCCGGTACATATACCAAAATAACATTGATTACCATTTTTGTCTACTGTCTGTTTGTTCTGGCTAATCTCTGAAATGGGTGGACCGATTTTGACTGGACATTTTTTTGACAGGTAGCTGATGTAGTAAGGAATAACTTAGGTTACTTTTAGATTAAAAAAAATCTTTTATTTTATAGAAATAAAGTTTATTTCCACGCGGAAGAAGTCGCGAGTCGATAATAAAATGTAAGTTTATATCATACTAGCTGTGCCCGCGCGTTCGTCCGCGTGGAATTTAACTTTATATTTCGAAAATAAAAGATTATTTTTAATATAAGTAGCTTAATTTACTCCTTATTACATCATCTACCTGCCAAAAAAAGAGAGAGTATGTCAGAAAATTAGTTGACGTAATTTTTTTTTGGCTCAGCCAGATATGAATTGGTTTAAATAGGAATAGTACGCCACTACGCTACAACGGTCTTAGAAATTATTTTATATTATTAATTAATGAAGATTAATTATTAGAATTATTCATAGAGAATAAAGACAGCTACTTATTAACTGCAAATATCATACCTAATATGATTTAAGTTACATATTGACATTATATAAATATATATAGAGTTAATAACCATTATCTCATTCATTCATAATTTAAGAGCTGTGCTCATGTCGGTCGAGCTCCCGCCACCTTCTACGATCTTCTATCAGTCCTTTTAGTTGTTGTTACGACACGACTCTAACTTCTTTAACTTGCTTGATATAGCTGTGTTTTGGTCTTCCACTTCCTCTCTTTCCATCTACCATTATTTCGTTACATTGAAAATGAATCATCATAACTTAGTATAAAACAAAGTGTCTGTCTAAATATATTTGGTAGAGTTTGTGATAGAACTCTGAAACGATATGCAATTGTTGGTGTGTAACTCTGGTCGTAGGCTTATTTTTGACCACCTCGGTGGTGTAGCGGTCTAGCACACCGCTTTACGACCAATGGTCGCGGGTTCGATTCCTCGCACGGCACAAACATTTGTATGAGTATGATTGTTTGTATCGGTCTGGGTGTTTTCTATGTATAATATGTATTTTTTTACAAAAAAAAATATCTATGTATATGTATCAGTTATCTAGTACCCATAACACAAGCTTTAGCTAGCTTAACTTGGGTCTAGATGGCGCTATGTGAATTGTCCTGAGATTATAATTAATATTTTTATATCAAGTGAAATCTTAGCATCATCATTACATAGTATAAAACAAAGTCGTTATCGCTGTCTGTCCCTATGTTTGCTTAAATCTTTAAAACTACGCATCGGATTTTGAAGCGATCTTTTAATAGATAGAGTGATTCAAGAGGAAGGCTTATACATACGTATAATACATGTAACTCCGTGCGAAGCCGGGGCGAGTAGCTAGTCTTTCTAGGAACATTAATACTTTTATATTTATTCTCTATAAATATAAAAGTATTAATGCTCCTAGAAAGCGATTATTATAAATTGTATTCGATAGTACTTAATAACATCGATGTCGGGATTTCTTCTATAAAAAAAGATACTTAAGCTTAAAAAAATAAAGTATATTTTTTCTGGAATTCCTTCTAAGTAATATTTCAGTATCGGTTATTTTTATACCGTTTATGTTCTTAATGTGCACTTTTATTTGCTTTCGCTGCGAGCTTAAATTGTTTGTTGAGTATTTAGGTACAGTGAGAGTATGATTTCATGAAAGAGATAAATTTAGATATTTTTATGTTGTAATCATCTGTCAATTTAAATAAAATTGTAGTGTCTGTTTGTATTATTGATATAACCGTTTTTTACTACATGCATATGAATATAAATACGGTACATACACCAATATATTTTTTTATACAATGCTTATCTGTCTGTCTGTTTGTTCCGGCTAATCTCTGAAATGGCTGGATAATACAAGCTTTAGCTAGCTAAATCTGGGTCTAGATGGCGCTGTGTGAATTGTCCTGAGATATTATTAAGGTAGTAGTAAATTTAAGAGTACTATGAAACTAAAATAGAGTGCCTCAAAGCGTAAAAACATTATATTCAAATATTGAGATGCTACAATAAAATAGATGTTTGCTACAGATATACATCAAGAAGATTATGTAGAACAGTTGTTTACGTCGTTTATAAATTTCCTTTGATAGAAAAATAGATACACGTTTCCTACGAGTTCTTCCTTTGTTGATTAGAAAGAAGGATTTCTTTAAGAGTGTTCAGCTAAACATCTATCTGAAGATATATTCCATGAGATTATATGAATATATGTTATAGTTTAATTTTATAGTTAATTTGTATGTAAACCATAAGGTTATTTTTTCTTTATTTATGTAATTATATATATTATACAGGTACATTAGAATTATTATATATATACACATAAATATTATGAGCATGTCAGGTTCAGTCTAGAATGCTGAAGTTTCCTACATGTAGAAACCATTTTATGGGAAATTCATTCTCTTCTAGAGCTCCTTTTTTGTGGAATAATCTGCCAATTCACATTCATTTCCTTTCCATATATGACGTGGTTTCAAAGGTAATCGTTATAGTAATAGTTGCTTATATATCTAGTTTCAAACTAAACAGAACTTGTGTTATGAATAAGTATCAGAAATAGAAATAGAAATAATTTTTATTCAAATAAACTTAATATAAGCACTTTTGATTGGTCAAGTTTTTGATTCTACCGCTTATATTGAAAGCAGATTCATCACAAGAAGAATAAGCAAGAAACTTGTGTGTTGCTTGTGTGATGTTGCTGATAAATAAATGACTGATAAAATACATATTATACATAGAAAACACCCAGACCGACACAAACAAACACACTCGTAAATACATATGTATGCATTTGATTAGGTACTTATATATGATTATTTTTTTATATTTATATATTAAATGTATTGTATTATTATTTATATGTTTAGTAAGTGTGTGCATGTCTTTTTTTTTAAGTATACATTAGAATATGGTTGTCTATTACAAAAACTCAAGCACTATCGTTGCCTGCTAACTCCCACCTCTGTTACAGCGTTGGGTTGGAAGAGATCTCTTGCAGAGATTAGACCGCCGTTGCTCACATTTTTGTATAACTGTCTTTATTTATTAATGTAATATATATTTTTTTTATTTATTTATTTATTTATTTATTTATTTACTTAATACAGAAAACATGTGTACTAATTTACTAAAGAAACGATGATATTCACAGAAGTATAAAACTGTGTTGCGAATATCGACGCCCTCCACCTAGTATATATAATTCCAAATAAGTGTAATAAAGTATATATATATATATATATATTATTTATCTGTGTTTATCTATTATTTTATTTATTAAAGTGTGTTGGCAACCGACCGCCACAAACTCTTGAAATATTTGTATTATTTTAAATTTACATTTTTAGAACAGTTCTCTTTTATATGTTTATATCTTTTATATCTTTTAGATAGTTCGCAATTGTATTTCAATATATTTTATTATCATAAATTTTGCGTTTTCTTTATTTAGACACCCATACAGTCCACCGATCCATTACAAAGTGCACCGCCTTGTTAACTCTGATATACGCAATGACTGGTAGAGAATGCCATCAGACATTAAGTCCGACATGTATATATGTTGTGTGTAAGACTAAATAAATAAACAAGAGTTTGAGTAAGAATCTTCCTGACAGTCCTCAATTTTCAATGAAATTTTAAATATAAATGCATAGCACTTAAAATCTCTCCCATATGAGGGAATTCCCATGGGCAAATATTAATAACAATAAATAAAGTTACAATTGCAATCTGGGGACTCACAGTATGTTTGAATATTAAATTACTGAATGTGTTATCAGTGAATCGGTGATAAATTCAAGTTGTATTAAAATTGTTCTGGTATATTTTAATATGATAACTTTTATTCAATTTTTTATCTCATGGAAAGTGTATAATGTGAATGTGGATGGATGTAAAGGGAGGGGACGCCCTAAGAAATGAAGGATGGATTGTGTGAAAGATGATATGAATAAAAGAAGAGTATGCTCAGATATGACGACCGATAGAGAGCTGTGGAAGAGAATAACATACTGCGCCGAACACAAATAATGCGATAAAGGCAAGTTTTAATTTTAATTTTAATGGCAATTCACGACTTTGAAGACACTCTGTTTCTTTATTACATATGGTATATAAATTGTGAAGATAACTACAAAATATAATAATAAATATAAGGAGCATGGAGAGTGCCACCTGTGGTTCTACGGTTGACAAAAATGATAATAAATCATCAATGTAAGAAACATTTATAATATCCTGACTTAGTTATATTAATAAGAATACAAAAAATAATTTGAATACGTGTCTAAATAAATTCAAATTCAAAATTCTTTATTCATGTAGGTCTATTACAACAAATCTAACGGCAGTTGGGAATAATTTCGAGATTAGAAGAACTGACAAGAAACTCAGCTCGTATTCTTTTCAAATAAATGTTATACATGTTTACAATAATACAGATTCATTTTTAAATTCAATTCAAATTTGGGAGAATAGAGTGTTTTAAATTAAATTCAATAGGACTTTAAATAATAACCATGTAATTAAAATCATACGCGATACACTAGGATCGAACGTAGATTTTTTTATAATCTGATCTTATTAATTAATGAACAACGGCCTCGTTGGTCTAGCGGTTTAGCACAACGCTTTTCTTCCGATGGTCGCTGCTTCGATTCCTCACTCGGTACAAACATTTGTATTCATTAGTATGATTGTTTGTATCGGTCTGGATATTTGTTATATTGTTATCTTGTTATATTATATATGTACAAAAAAAATCTATGTATTAATATCAGTTGTTTAGTACCCATAACACAAGCTCTGCTTAGCTTGGGACTAGATGGCGCTGTGTGAATTGTCTTGGGTTCTTATTATAATAATGAACGTACAGAAGGAAAATTGTATTTGATCTGTAAATATAAAGTCTAACAGTTTCCTCGAAACTAATCTAAGATATGTATATAGGAAATTAAATATTTAAACTTACAGAGAATGTTGTCTCGTGCTGAGTGGAAGCTGTGCCCTCCGGTTCAATCGGGGTGCGTAGACTTTGCGGCAGTAGCTCGATTAGGTTTGTGGTGTGTGGTTGGTAACGCAAGACAAGCACGCACGTCGACACCAAAGTGTAGGCCAGGAGTGTACCTGATGAAAAACAGACTTGTTGTAATATTGTCACTACGACTGATTTAATCTTATTCTGTTTTATTATTTGAGCCTAAATAAATTAGTGCTGGTTGGTAGTTTGTATTCACACGTTTCGACTTGTAAATGTGAACTTACAAGGATTATTTAAAAGAGCAACACACAAGTTTCTCGCTTATTCTTTTTGTGATGAGATAGATTCCCGAATGAGCGGTAGATTAAAAAAATATGTTGACTATTCAAAAATGCTTAAATTAAGTTTATTTGAATAAATGATTTTCTATTCTATTCTATTCTATTGTCTCCATTCTTATCCAGGTTGAAGCAGATAGACGTTAACTTTTCTGAAAATTTCGATCAAATTTTGTGTTTAGATAAACACAATCGCTATTCATATAAACTTAATTATAAACACATATTAATCTATACTGATGAAAAACAGACTTGTAATATTGTCCCCATTCGAATTCAACATCTAGCAAGTATATGATGTGTTTTCTGATTGACGACCTCGGTGGTCCAGCGGTCTAGTATACCGCTTTACGACCGATGGTCGCGGGTTCGATTCCTCGCACGGCACAAACATTTGCATTCATGAGTATGATTGTTTGTATCGGTCTGGGTGTTTTCTATATATAATATGTATGTATTTACAAAAAAAAAAATCTATGTATTTGTATCAGTTATCTAGTACCCATAACACAGGCTTTAGCTAGCTTAACTTGGGTCTAGATGGCGCTGTGTGAATTGTCCTGAGATTATTATTATTATTATTATTATTATTATTAATTTTGATCATATTTGTGTTTAGACAAACACACTCTCTATTCAAATAAACTTTATCATAAACACATTTGATTGTATAACCATCTTATTATATAGTATTCTTTAACCATCGCAATATTTCTAATGTAGATATAATAATAATAATAAAGACATTTATTCAGTATTACAGTATTTAGTATTATATTACTCTCTTATTTACTATACAACTTAAAAGCTAAAACATACTAGTAACTCTGAATGTGACTCCCACTCAGCATTTATACTGCAGTATAGTTATACCACAGCGCTGATTTTCAGTGGGGCCACCACACACGAGACAGCGTACGTAAAGATAACAAAAGATAGCTAAATCGTTAAAATTAAGACCATTTTACAAATAGGTATGAAAATGTATGTAAAATTAAATGCAATTTTAATTAATTTATATATTATTTATTGAGATATAACCAAAAAGATTCGATAAGAAACATGGTTGCAACTCGTAACTCTTTTTTAATCAATTGTAATTTTAGTTAATAAGGTTTTGTACAACAATTATTTGAGAGTTTTATTACGTACATTTATAAAGGGAAAATACACCGATTCTTTTATGTGAATAAATGATTGAACATTCTTTGTAGTTTAGCACAAAGACAGCAACAGTATATATTACCTAACATCAATTACAAAACACAAGAAAACTAATGGATGGCTTCTCATAGACTTCTCAGGCGACATTGATGAAGAGGAGTTTATGTGCACTTTATATTCCAGCTTTATGAAAAGAAAGCAATATATTTTCTATAGAATTAGAAATAATTAAAATTTATATAGAAACATCGGCTTTTGAAAAGAAAGTATAATCATATTTTAGTTGAATTTCATTAGGAGCTTATTTAAGACTAGCTGTACCTGCGAATGCGTCCGCATGGAATAATATATACGAATTTTTCTAAAATATAAGTAGCCTAGGTTACTCCTTATTACTGTAAAAAAAACTTCCGTCAAAATAGTTCCAGCCATTTCAGAGATTAGCCGGACAGAAAAATTGTAAAAAATGTTATTTTGGTGTATGTACTGTATTTATATTCATATGCATATAATAAAAGTTATTACAATATTACAAACAGACACTCCAATTTTATTTATATGCATAGATTTTCTATTTTAAAAGATGTATATATGTATTTACTAGCTGTCCCGGCAAACGTCGTTTTGCCTTAAAAAAAAAAATTTAGGGGTGGACTACCCCTAACATTGAAAAATAGATGTTGGCCGATTCTCAGACCTACTCAATACGCTCACAAAATTTCATGAGAATCGGTCAAGCCGTTTCGGAGGAGTATGGGAACGAAAACTGTGACACGAGAATTTTATATATAATTGCGTTGAATTTCTTTTTAAATCCAGCAGAAAAAATGTACCTACCAAATTTTGCTGACCCTTAAGCGTCCCACCATGTATAGGCCTGGATCTGATGGGCCTAAATAAACTCACGGATATAATAGTCAACATTCAGGGTACGGTCCGTAAGGCTATGAAATTAAAAAAAATAATATTTATTGGTACCATAATATGGCAACTTACATTATTGGACATATTAAAAAAATATATGGACAAATGGTGTGGCGTGGATTGATGGTGAATTACAGTTTTAACTTTTGTTATGAGGTATATAATTTTCCCATAGACATAGTTACCTAATGTAATAAACATAAACTATTAAAAATTTAGTAATGACATATGTAATTTAAATAATGTAAATTAAATATTGTAATGGGTGAAAACTGTGATTGGTACAGCCTATGCTGTAAATAATATAAATGACGTAGTGGAGTAACTTGAAACAGTCTTAGTGAGCAGCTATAAAGTTCAAACTTGTGGCGGCGTGGTGGGCCGGGACGGTGTGCTCCCTCTAATATAGTTGAGTGCAATGATGGCTGTCTCATCCGTCATACTCGTGAACGGGTGCTACTTGTAGGAACTGGTCTGTTTAAGTCACGAACACTGATTAGACTTTTTGTTTTTGCAATAGCATATACTTGTGGCCATTCTATTCACCCTTATTTGAATTTATATTATTTTAAACAAGTACAACATTTATTTCGAATACGAGCTGAGTTTCTGTCAGTTGTTCTCGAAATCATTCCGAACTGACGGTAGATTTGACATATCATAAGAATCTGTAATAGACCTACACGAATAAAGATATTTTGAATTTATGAATTCAATTCTTGAAAGGGACTTTTAAACTACATTTAATAAAACGCAAGTGTTTGTTAAATAGATATTTTGTTGAGCTACTTCCGCCAATCACATAGCTAGCAATACCGATTAAATGTCACGATACAGAGATCTCATCGTTGTTTGTTGGAATTTATCCTTTTGTTCGTCGTTTGAAGAATTTATTTGATTAAAAACATGGCAACCCAACCAGCACTTAAATGAATAGTTAAAAAAGAGATCGCTCTAATGAATTCTGTAACACGTTTACGCGACAAGAAGAAAAAGTTCACTGTATTTTTCGCTTGTAATTCTCGAATAATGCGACCTCACCGCTCTGTACATAGTAACCGGATAAATTACGATATTATATTGTATTCTATATTATATTGTATTCCATATCATATTGTATTCTATATTATATTGTATTCAATATAATATTGCGCCTCGCTGTGATGTTGACTGAACGGCAAATATTGGATGCGTTTAATTTTATCACTTTCCCAATTTTTCGGTCACATTCTTTTTTCAAATCCACTGATTCTGAACACATGATCAACAACAAGCAAGCAAGCTGTCTCATCACAAAAACTAGTAATACCTACCTATAAAATCAAAGTCTTTATTCATATAGATCTGTACAGCAAAGTTGTTTATTTATTTAGGAGTTTAGGATAGTGATCTTGTTAGATCCGTGTTGGTTTATTAATCAGTTACTTACATATTTACATCACATCTAAAATTAAATGTACTGTAATGACATATATTACCTATTTAAACTATTATCTACAGCTGAGTTGTAAATTGAAAATGTAAAATTATTATGTCTGATACTCGTGATATATAATACATAAGAGTTACATATATATTATGTATTTGCAGTACATGAAACACAAGAACTGGCAAGTTTTTTACGTTTTTACAAGTGGTAATACCTATTTTCCGTATTGCAATGATAGTTAATTATTGTATTCTACTTAGTCAGAGCTCTTACTGAGGTAATAGACCTCACTAAGACTTCTTATATGAGAGACTTTGTGTTTCGTCATTTTATTAATTAACTTATTCGATTCGCACACGCTGTCTACGTGAATTGAAATAACCAATCATTGATCAGTTTCTTGACTGGTCGTACTATAGCCAATCGTAACAGCAATCGACTGATCACGTGACAACTTTCGTGATCAGAAGTTTTGTCTCTCGATTCGATGCGAACGGCTGTTGCAACGTAGCTAAGTGACATAAAATTTAAGTAATTTAAGAAAGATCCATATGAATCATCATCATTCAAGTTGTAAAACCAGAAGTGAACAGCGTTATCCGAAGTGGAAACCTGAAGAGTAAAACGCAATAAGGGAGAATCGAGCCTCGACTCTTCCAGTGGAATATACGACGATCCGGCTATATGTAAGAAGTGCTTGGTCCATATCTTTCCTCAAAGACTATCGTCTTACGTCGTGTCGTCTTACGTAAGCTGGAGCTTCCAAAGTATCATCGGTTCTACCGTACTGATACACCTTGTATTCCGTATGAAAACATATATAGAACTCAATAATATATCAAGAGACTAGAAGCATTCTATACATACATCGTTAGTTCATAAGTCATAACGTTAAGTAAGTAACTTAATATGACGACAAGTGTGTTCCGATACTTCCCTTAAATTTTATACTGAAATCCAATGAAATCAAACAACCTTCTGAACTGCGAGGCGCTAACGATTTACGCTGGCGGGGTACCCGTGAAGGATGATAAGATGAGCATGAGGTCAGGTCAGTTGGCCTATCGTGACAAATTCACCAAGAATTTTATCACGATGGTTTCCAGGGGGAACCGCGTGGAATTCAACCTGACATGATACATTGCTAGCTATAGGATCATCCTGTAACCTGAGTGACATTTTCTTAAAGATACGTGTTAATGCGAATTTTTAGTACAGTGTATTATATATAGTTGGAGTTACGAAGAGTTTTTTATCTATTTTAATCATGCAATTAGTCTTCCAGACTGTA